TATATTGTCTTTCCTCATTTTTCCATTGTTTCATTTTTGAGGTTTTCCATTCCTCTTTTTTTCTCTCCTTTACTTTCTTCTTCTTGGCTTTTCCCACTAGGTTCTCTTCCAATTTCTCTTTCCTATTTTTATTTTCCTTTCTGTCCTTCCTTTTATCTTTTTTTTTTTGCTTTATATTTTCTTTCCTTGCCTTGCCTCTTCTCACCCTGCCCCTCCTCACCTCTCTTCACCTTGCCTTACCATTTCTCTTTCTATTTTTTTCTTTTGTCTTTCCTGATTTTGCCTTGTATTTTCTTTCCTTGATTGGCTTTATATTTTCTTTCCTTGTTTTGCTTCTCTCCTAGGTTTTTCTCTCCTTTTTTCTTTGCTTCCTCTGCTTCCTTTTATATTTCCCTGTTTTGCATTAGATTTTCTTTCCCTGTTTTTTCTTTATTTCCTCTCCTTGGCTTTCTTCTCTTGGTTTTCTTCCAAATTCTCTTTCTTGTTTTTTTTTATTTTCTTTTTTCTGTCCTTTCTTTTCTTTCTGTAATCTTCTGTTGTTTTGCATAATATTTTCTGTCCTTCCTTTGCCTCTCCTTGCTTTCCCTTTGCCTTTCCTGCTTTGCCTTTGCCTCTCCTGGCTTTGCCTTTCCATTTCTCTTTCTGTATTTTTTTCCCATAGTTTCTTTCCTATCCATTTTCTTTCCTTCTTTTGCTCTGTATTTCCTCTACTTGGCTTTCCTCCTCTTGGCTTTCTTCTCCTTCCCTTTCTTCTCCTTCACTTTCCTTCCCTTGGCTTTTCTCTTCTGATTTTCTTCTTTCTCGTTTTTGTTTTCCTTTTTTTCTTTCCTTTCCTTTCTTTCGTTCCTTTTATCTTTTCTTGTTGGGCCTTCTCTCCTCGCCTTGCCTCTCTCTGTCTTGCCTCTCCTTCACTTTTGTCTCCTTGGCTTTCCTCTCTTTTCCTTTGCTCTCCTTCGCTTTCCTCTTCTGGTTTTCTCCCAATTTATTTTCCTTGTTTTCGATTGTGCTTTTCTATTTCTTTTCTTTCCTCCCTTTTAATCTTTCTTTGTCTTCTGCTAGAAAACAGATTCTCTCCTTGATTTCTCTCCTTGATTTTCTACTTCTTTTTTTTTTTCCTTTCCTTTGTTATTTTCTCCTTGCCTTTTGTCTCCTGGTATTCCTCCCTGTTCTTTATCTTCCTTTCTCCTTTCCTGTCTTTCCTTTCCTACATTCTATCTTTCCTTGCTATGCTTTATATTTTCTTTCCATGCCTTGCTGCTCCTTCCTTAGATTTTCCTTTTGCTTTCTTACTTTTATATTCCTTCCTGCAGCAAGGGCACCCTGAGTGTGCTGCCCGCAAGCCTGCCTCCCCCTGCAGCTCTCCCTGCCCCGCACAGTCCTTCCCCGAGCAGGGGGCATCTTGGTGCAGCTTGGATGGTGGCCACCAATGCAGCGCTCTCTTGGGCTGTGCAGGGGCCTCGGCGCAGTGCTGGCAGCCTGGGCAACGGCAGCCTGGATGAGCCCGGAGGTGAGCAGCCCCGTCCCACAGTGTAGGCCTGCTCAGCAGTGCCTCCCTGCCAACCGCCAGCGCCCACCGCCCTCTGCCCCAGCTGGGGCTCCGCTGAGGGGCTGCCCTCGCTCACTGCCTCTCTGCCTCCTCCTCCAGCCGCCTCCTTCCCGCCCTCGGTGT